GGTTGCTTCAACTGGAAAAGCATGGAGAGGTAATGAAATGTGACTTTTGAAACTGGACCATGAAAGGCCAGGCCACTTCCACCTGGCTCTCTTAGAATACTCACTGTCTCCTCCCCCAAGCATTGGGGAGCTTCCTCTCTACACCCAGGCATGGTGCTGCGAGACACCTAAGTCACCAAGGAAATCATGCATGGGGGCTCCTAGCATCAGTCTCAGCTGAGCTCACTTTTCAGCCCACCCAGCCCAGGCAGCAGGTAGATGGGTGAAGAAGCCATCTTCAAAGTGGCTCCTTCATCTACTGCTCTTTCTGCTCCCAACCTTGAATGATGCCAACTGAGGCCAAGACAACATAGTTGAGTGTACCCATCTTGATGGCATCCTTTCTGATGTCTTCACCCATTGAAGATGGAATCAGTGTGGGAGGTGAAGAAAGGGGATAGTGGAGAGTGCTTTCATCAGTGTGAGCTGCTGTAACCAAAGACCACAGGCTGGGTGGCTTCAAGAACACACACTCCTTTCCCACATTCTGGAGGCTGGGTGGTCCAAGATTAAGGCTCCAGCAGATTCAGTGTCCAGTGAAGGCCCCTTCCTGGTTCATAGATGCCACCTTCACTCCATATCTTCACATGGCACCAGAGAACCCACCAGTCCCCTCATGAGCTAATTCATGACCTAATCACCCATTCATGATCTAATTCATGGCCTAATCACCTCTGTAAGTCTCATATCCTAATACTGTTCCATTAGGGTAAGGGTTTCAATATATAAATTTGGAGGGACACATTCAGTCCATAGCCAGTGACTCCAGTTTGGGGCTCAGGCAGCTGGATAGGTTAGGTACCATGACAAGGTGGCATCTGATGGTGCAATGGAGCTCCGAATGGAGGGTGGCAGGGGGATTAGATTAGAAGTTGGATTAGAAGTTCTATCAGACGTCAGGTAGACAATAAAAAGGCTTTAGGCTGGGAATGTAGCTTAGTTGTAAAGTGCTTGCATAGCATGTGTGGGAGCCTGGTTTAAAAAGAAAAAGAAGCCTTTGGATATACAGAACTCAGATGAGAAGAGAAGACTGGCTAAAGTTAGTGATTTGGGAGTCCACAGCATATTTGAAGCACTGAGCATAATTTGAAGCACTGGGCATAAAAGAGACCACCTAAGGACTAAGCATGTGACAGAGAAAAGAAAAACACTTAGTCCCTCCAACTTTCCTGCAGATTGTCTCTAATTTCCAATTTTTCTGTCCTATATACCAGTTTGAACTAGGGAAAAAATTTAAAACAGCCAAATGTCTTCTTCTAAGATGCAAGAGCGTCACATTGAGGTTCCTTCCCATTGGAAACAGATGGCACACTCGGAAGGGAAGTGGAAGATGCGTCAATGGAAGAAGACTATTAATAAAAATAGGGATAAAGTGGAGAGGAAAAAAAGGAGAGGAAGTTCTCTGTGGCCAGGAAAAGCAAGGAGCACCTCACACTCTGAGTGGGGAAGAAGAATTTCCAAGTGCAGTGCAAACTGTGGCCAAGAACAGCGTCAATCGCACAAATGGCACCCAGTAGGGACTTTCTCTCTATATCGTCACATAGCACCAGAGAGCTCCAACCTCTCTTCGTGTCTACCCTCAGCTCTGGATGGCTCCTCCCAATGGCCAAACCCAAGGGGTCAGGGAGCCAGGGTGGGCTTGTTGTGAAGTAAGCGTCTGTGAATCTCAGAGCAGGCGGAGAGTGTCGAGGGCACAGGTGGAGGGGGACAGGGGAAACACATGGGGTCACAGTCACCTCCCCTTGCTGTATAGAGCAGGAAGCCATCCACAGATTCTTGAGCTTAAGCTTTTTCTGGCGTCAGGGTAGTCTTGTGCAACCATCTTTCCCTAGTCCTAGGAGTAAGAGCAAACAGCCATCAACTACCATTCGGGGGAAGGGAAATTCAGAGTACCCTACATCTCTTTCTAAGGCTCAGTGGCATATACCTCTAATTCTAGAGGTGCAAGAAGCTGAGTCAAAAAGATCACAAATTTGAGACCAGCCTGAGCAACTAAGCAAGACCTGGTCCCCAAATAAACAAATAAAATGAATGGGGAAGTAGCTCAGTTCTTCTTAGGTCCAATTTCTAGTACCAAAAGAGGGAGAAAGGAAGGAACGAATGAACTTTCTATAACTCCAATCCTAGTTTTGTTATACCCTATATTTTTAGGTTGGAGATATCACAAAACAAATTTTGAGACATCCTCTTTCCAACCCTTCATGATGCTTCCATGGGAATGTGAGCTATGGTACCCTCTATCTTGGGGATCCAGCTGAAATGAGACCCAAACGGCTCCATTATCACTTGCTGTTATGTGTATGTCTATGGGAATCTAATATTTGGCACATGGGCATGTAAATCAGAAGGGAAAAGACCAGCCATTTGGCAAATGATAATGGGACATAAGGTTATCAACTGAGGGGAAAAGTTAAAGCAATCTCTACCTCATAGCGTTAATACAAATAGATTCCATCCTGCTTAAAGCCCCAGAACATTTTTAAAGTATCAGCTAGAAATAAAAGAAAATGTGTTTATCCTCGGCTTTCTTAAGGGGAAAAAAGCAAAACCCACAAAAAGCAATGTACTTGTCCGTCTGTGAGGGTCATGAGAATGTGCCACACAGACCTCCGACACAGAAAGCGGAATTGTCTGCGGCTTGGCTGCTGGGCGCTAAAATCTGAGACATGTGGCATGGAGATCACACTTCCCCCAGGCTGCCCCAGGCGGTGGCTCAGCACAACGGGGTCCTGAGGCAGCTCACATGGTCGTGGGACCCTGCAGTCATGCAGCCCCGAGCTCAGAAGGACCTGCGCTCTGTTTAATGCTCGTTCTGCTATCCCCATCTCTGAATTCTTAGTGATTTTTAAACAAGCAGCCCTGAATATTTACTCTTCCCTGGGCCCTGCAAATTCTGTAGCTGGTCCTGCCTGGAGATTGGGGCCCTCTGGCAGCCAGCACTGGCTGGGGACTACCTGGCATCCAGACTTTCTTTAGCCTGTACATGGGTCAAGGTCACTGCCATCCGACCTCCCCTCCCTCCTTCTCTCAGTCTGACAGCTCTCTGCCCTTTCCCAGGCCCACTACACTTTTTCACAATCGCTTCCCCTAATAAAATCCCCAAGTGCTTAATTTCATTTCAGTGTCTGCTTCTCGGAGGATCCAGAAGCTTACATATTAATGACAGAGGTCAGACGACATAGGCAGAGACAGGAAGCTGTGATTCCTTTATCTACAGTCTGCTGGACAAAGAGGGAATGTCTGGGCTGGAAGGTGGGGCAAAGATAACCCCTATCACAAGTAATGGCTCTATCCCTGAAGATCCCCAGGGGTGATCTGGGAAAGTGTCCGGTGGGGAGGAATGCAGTGGTCAGTGCAATGATGTGTGTGTTCAAAAATCAGGGGTGAGGGGAGCCTATGACGAGAGCAGCTGGCTGAGTTCTGCTGTCTGCTGACACCCTGCAGTGGGATAAAGGGGTAGCTGATCGCCAGCAGTGAATGGTGCAGGGTAAGGACCAGAAGACTGGGTGGGAGCTCACAGAGAGGCCCCATCAGCTGCAAAGGAGAAAGCCACACGAGCTAGGACTTGGTTATAGCTTGTGTCTGGATGTCCTGCCAAAGCCTCACGTGACCGTGACTGGGGCTTTTCGGAGGTGGCCGGATCCAGGCTGTGTAATGCTGGGATCGTGGACCTGATGCTGGGATTAATTCACCGACCAATGCTAGGATTAAGGGTGTGAGTGCTACTCACCCTAAGGGCAGGTAGTCTGGATTAGAATATAAGGGACAGAAAGGGCTGCTGTTGTCCCTTGTCGCTTATCACTTTTTGCTGCTGCTGCTGCTGCTGCTGCTTGTCTTCTGCTCTGAGATGCCCCTCTGCCATGCCACCCTGCCTTGGAGCCAGCCAAATATGAACTGAAACCTCTAAAAACTGTGAGGCAAATAAACCTTTCCCCCTTCAACTCTGGGTGTTAAGCATTTTGTCTTCACAACTGCAGAAGTAACCAAGACGGACTTCTCTCTATTACAGGAGTTCAAGAGCTGCTTGATAGCTCAGCAAGGCAGATGTGCTATCAGAAGTCAAAGTTCTGATGAGGAAAATGTGGGTGGGTGCAACTGAGGTGGGAGAATAAGACAGAGAGAGAGAGAGAGAGAGAGAGAGAGAGAGAAAGGAGAGAGAGAGAGAGAGAGAGAAAGGAGAGAGAGAATGACCTCAGGTAATATTATATGAGCCATACCTAAAGCCAAAATTTATATCCAGATAGTTCATCTTTGATGATCAGTGTTAACCCCTTTGCACAAGTTGCTTTAAATGGAGTTTTTGTTACCCACACTTGCAGAGTTCAAGCACAGCTATCACTTATGAATCATTCTTGCACAAAGAGTCATCTTTCCTGTGTATGATCCAGCTACTCCAACAAGTCTTTCTTCCTCTCTCTCTCTCTCTTTCATTCTTATTTTTTCCTTCCTTCCTTCCTCTTGATTCCATAAGTTGGTCTTGTTTCAGTTGAGAAAATCCTCATGGGAGGCTGGAATCCATCTCATTCCTTCATCCTCTGCATCCCCCTTTGAGGCTTCCTGTTGCCAGACAATTTGTTTTAGATAGGATGGCTCCAGAGTACTTTTAAAGCCCTGTTTTATACAATCTGGCTCTGGAACTAAGTCATCAACTCCTGGGGGGGTTTATAGCCTGGCTCTGTGCTGATGCAAATTTCTTCTTAATCCTTAGAAGTTCCAGAAATTTTCCTTCTAACATTTTATGACACGTTTTGAAAAGGCAGACTAGATAAGGGCTAGGGGGTGGCTGTCATGGTTTGCTTACCCAGTGCTGGGGGGTGTTATGACAGGGTTGTGACAATAAGAATCTTGAAATTATTTTACGTTCATTTGAGCTCTTCCCATAATACAAAAGTGCACACAATTACGAAGTTCTGATCAGACAGCTTGGTTTACAGATAATGCACTGGGACATGACTGTTTATTGTATAGAGAGATTTAATTGCAAATATTTACTGTGTATAGTGGCATTTTGCATTACTGTTCCCAAATATTTGCTTCCCTTCCCTGTGGAAAGATTATATATCCCATGCCATCTCATGACATGGGGTGGGGGAAGCCACTTAACTTGTTTATCCAATGAGGAGTCAAAGGAGTAATTTGCTACCTTCCAGGCAGAAGTTGTAAGAGCCAGTATAAGTCACCATGTCCTTTGTCTACTCCTGCCAAGGACTAGCACTGTTCCAGATAGTGGCTGACTCTGTCAGCTTGAGTCCAAAGTTGGATGATACAGGACATGGAGGCATAGAAAATGCACAATGGAAACCCAAGTGTTTTAGTCTGCATTCTGTTGCTATAACAGAATACCATGGAATCTGCAATTATCAGAAATTCGTGTAGCTCATGTCCAAGGGTTGCATCTGGTGCATCTGAGCTCTGTCATCCTGTGGTGGAAGGACAGATGAACACATCTAAAAGAACAAAGGATACAGGGTCATATTTGCTTTCTAACAACTCACTTTTATGATGACTAATCCACTCCCCCAGTAATCACATTAATGCATTCATAAAGGTGGAGTCCCCATAACCTCAGCATTTCTTCAAGGCTGCACCTTGTAACACTGCTACAAAAGGCAATGAAATTTCAACACAACATTTGAAGGGAAAAGATATTTAAACCATCACAGTGAGTGAGAGATATGCCTTTCATGCTGCAAGTCAGTGAGATTTGGGGGCCATTTGTTACACCAGCTTCCTGTAGCTGACCCTGAATAACACATATACCTGTTATAAGCTCATCAATGTGCTGGTGTGTAGTTCATTTAGATCTATTAGATCAAAGCCCCTAAATGGCTTTGCTTAATAAGCACTTCTTTGAAATTAGGGCTTTCCCTGCGTCACAGAGGATGTCAAATTTTCCTTAAGCAGAAGAAACACCTTACGCAAACCTCAACTCTAAAACAGACACCAGCAGAGCTGCTCCGGTTGAAGGATTGAGGGTCAGAAACTCGGCAGGTCCTTTTCTCCCAAGGACTGTACTCAACCCAGACATCTGGCCAGGACTCAATGGATATTTGTTGAATAGATAAACAGATGCATTATTTCCTATAGGATTCACTGACGGCTCCTTAAGGAACCCTAAGGAATTCCACAGAAGAGAATTTAAAATCCCCTTTAATGCCAGGATGGTCCCTGCAGGTTTCAGATGCAGTTGTCAAATTTGTATGTATAGAGCAAGAGAACAACAGCAGAGATTGTAAAGGTTCAGACTTTTTTCAGCCAGGTTCTGTATCTTTCCACTCACTGCTCTATCTGAGATGTTAATGATTGTTATTAGCTTTGTGATGCATACTCCATCGTGTCTTTCCATGATCCAGCCAACTGTAGAGGTGCTAATAAACTGAAAAGAGGGACAAAGGCAGACGAGCTAGTAATTCACACACTGGGTAACTTGTCCTAAAGCAATCACTCACCCCCTGTGTCTAGACTGTATGTTGAGGAAGATGCCAAAAAAATTGACAAGCCCTGGAGAGCTGGCACAAACTTGTATTTTCAATGTACAAAGAATTTCTCTCCTCACTAAGTCCTTCTCCTTCTCCTCTCTTCTCTTAAGTGTGACTGGCTGAACATAATGAGCTTAATGCTCATCCTATTCCAGTAACAGGGCTCTCTTAGCAAAAGGCTTTTAGAAAACAATAATGGGAGTGAGGCAATTCTGCTGGCAAGATGGCAGAGACTACGGTAAGAGAGAATATCAAAAACCTTCCTCAATAAAGATCCTGCTATTTTGCCTTACATATAGAGTTTCTTTTAAATCCTGTTGAGATGTATGGTTCAGTGTGCAAGAAAGAAAGAGGAACTCCCAGTGGCCACACAGAAGAGACAACTGAAGACAGTGCAGATGCTGCAGGGAGTGACTGCCAGTCCAAATCACCAAGAAACTGGGGTTCCAGTGTTCATGTGAAGGTAGTTGCTGAGGTCCTGGGTGAGATAAAGAGGGACGAACTGAACTTGTGGATGGAGCCATCCTGTCCAACAGGGTAGTCAGCTCAGGCTACCCCAACGAAATACCATGAACCCGGTGGCTTGTGAGCAATAGCAACGAAGTCTCACCGTCCTAGAGGTTGGAGCCTGAGATCATAGGACCAGCATGGCCAGGTTCAGCTGAGCACCATCTTCCAGCTGCAGACAGCTGACTCCTCGTTGTACATTCACATGGCAGAAAGAGGGGGAGAACAAGAGAGCCCTCTGGGGCCCCTTTATAAGGCTGCTAATCCCCTGCAGGAGGCCTCTGCTCTGTGACTTGATCATTCCCCAAAGGCTCCACCTCCAAGACCATCACATTAGGGATTACATTTCAACATAGAAACTTCGGGGAGACAAAGGCCTTCAGTCCATAACCAGCAGACCAGAAAACATTCATCCCTCAGCACAATGAGAAGTTAAGAAAAGCTCATACCATCACCTTTTGAAAGTAAAGAACTATTTTTGGTAGCATTTCTGTAATTGTTCAAATTTTTTTACTCTTAGTTTTGTCATGACTTGTGCTCTTGTTATAAAGTTCTAAGGCACTGAGAAAACTGTTCTTAACCCTATTCGTCCCATGAGCTTTTCTTGTTTTTAGTGTGCAATTTTCTGAATATAAGACTTGATTTTTTTTTTTTTGTACCTATTTAGTGCAGGAAATTTTGCTTGGTGCTCTTGGAGAAAAACAGGAGACCAGAACAGGCCATATTACTATTACTTATTCATTCATTCATTCATTCATTCCTTCATTCATTTTTGTTGGTGTTGCAATGCTGGAGATCCAACCTACACAGGAGGGAATCACAGAAGAAATATCTAACATTTGAGAGGTACCTATTATAGGCCACGCACTATAAGGGTTTTCATGAAATAATTACCCACCCCTCATTTTGTTGATAAACACATAGTTGCTGAATTCATTTGTTAACAGCATGTAGTAGTTAAACTAATTTATTCAAGATCAGCCAGGAGGTGTTCAATTCAAGATCAAAAGCAGAGCCCTGGCTTTCTGCTTCCTCCACCCTGCCATATTGCCTTGAGATAATCTAGGCAACATTAGACTCGAGGCAAATGAAGCAACTGAGGATTAGAAAGAAGAGAATTGCCGGGGTCACTCCACTGAGAAAGCTGGAATCAGATGGTCTCCTGACTCCTACACCATTAGTGTTTTCCACTATACGCACAGAATAGAATTTCAACACTTGACAATTGCCTCTTTCCATTATGAAATGGATACAAAAAGAGGAATGAAAGAGGAATAGGAGAGAACAGCTAACTGAGGTCTGTATTTATCCAAGACTATGACTCCATATATTTCTCCTTTTCCTTTTGGGGGGAAACTGGAGCAAAATTGACATAAATAGCTCTCGATGTGGTTCCAGTACTGGAGGATACCATGTAGAGCAATAGGAGTATGCACCATCAGCAACAGTATGCAAATTTGGATGTGAGGAAAACTCATTTCATTCTCCATCTGTCTCCCTGTTTAATTACTTAGCCATAAATTAGCACTTTTTACTAGCTACGTTCTGCAAATGTGATCAATTCACTGACTTTAATGTCAAATAAGGACTATTTTTATCTTTCAATTATTTAGCCTTTTAATTTATATTCACATTTTGAAATATAAATTAACTGTTGAAATCTGCCCCAATAACACATTGGGAAATTTTTTCTATTTGTCTTCTCATTGATAGCATTTCTTTGATTGAATCATTGATGAGATGCCTTTTGGAAACATGGCGTTTCTCCCCCTAAAGGGCAAGAGAAGAAAGTGTTTTCAACATTTGAAGGATGTAATTAAGAAACATATCATGAACAGAGTGATCTCAGAGCCTTACAGACACAGAGCCTGTAATGCTTCTCACTCTGCTCACAGCCTGCCAGGAGGGGCCCAATCTGCTTCCTCTACCTTACCCTAACCAGATTCTGGATCAATATGAGGCCCGGGCCTATCCAGCCCTACCTTGCACATACTCTTTTTTGGAGGGAGGTGGATTTTTAAGTTGTATTTTAAAAATTTTTTATTAGTACATATTTGCCATACGTAGTGCTCATATTCATCATAGGGAATTTGTACCTGTACATAATATATCTTAATTCTTCTTTTTTTTCCCTATTCCCTTCCCCTCCTTCAACCGTTCTTTACCTTCCCATTTATGGAAGCTTTGTTTCCATTTTTTCCCTTCCATTCTTTGTTTTTTAATCCCTTTTCCCCTGCTTCCCTTCCCTCTCGCCCTTCCCTTGTTCTGCTTCCCATTTGAATATATTCTTCCTACTTCCCAATATCTATCCTCCATTTTGCTCCTTGTTTATCCTTAGGATTTCTCACACAAGAGAAACAGTGCTATATTTAAACTGGTGTGTCTTATTTCTTTCACTTAAAATTATGGTCTCAAGGTGCATCCATTTACCCACAAATGACTGAAGTTTATCATTCTTTATGGCAGAGTAGTACTTCATTGTACATAAATACATTTTCTTTACCTATTCATTTGTTGATGGGCATATGGGCTGTGCCCAAGATTTAGCTATTATAAATTGTGCTGCTATAAACATGATTGTACATGTTTCCCTGTGATATGATGCTTTTAACTTTTTCAGGAAGATGCCTAGAAGGGGAATAGCTGGGACAAATGGAATCTTTAGTTTTAGTTTTTTGAAGAATCTCCAAACTGATTTCCACAGTAGTTGTACTAGTTTGCATTTCCATCAACAATGGAGAAGGGTTCCTTTTTCCCCACAGCCCCACCAGCATTTGTTATTCATTGATTTCTTGATGGTGGCCATTCTTTCTGGGAATGAAATGGAATCTCAGTGTTGTTTTAATTTGTGTTTCTCAAATAATCAGTGATGTTGAACATTTTTTCAAGTATTTATTTGCTGTTTGTACTTCTTAATCTGAGAAGTATCTATTCATTTCAGATCCCATTTTGGGATTGGGTCGTTGAATTTGGGGAGGGGTCTGGTTTGTTTTGTTTTGAGTTCTTTATATATTCTAGATACCAGTCCTTTGTTTCAAGAATAGCTGATAAAATTTTTTTCCCATTCTGTGGGTTGTCTCTTCACTCTGTTGGTGGTTTATTTTGCAGTGCAAAAGCTTTTTAATTTGATGTGATACCAGGTGTTGATTCTTTGTAATATTTCCTGCCCGATCAGAGTTTTGTTCATAAAGTCTTTGCCTACATCTACGTCTTCAAGAGTTTTACCTATTCTATCTTCCAGTAGATTGTTTATATTTTTATATTTTGATCCATTTTGATTTTAGTTTAGCCTTGCACATACTCTTGGAGAAAGCAGATTTCCAGCCTGTATGCTGGTAAAATCATCCCATTTTTATTGGGTACTCAACCACTTTCCAGGCCCAACAGGTAAATAGAGATGACAAGACAACTTCAGACATCCTTAGAATATCAAAGATAAGAATAGGCCTGTGAGAGGCAAAGGTGTTTAAGGAAACATAATAAAAGAACTACAGAAGTGTATATGCCTATAGGACTACACTGATATTCTGTTTCTCTTTATTCCTTGCCTAATAATGCCAATTTTACGTAGGATGATAATATGCCAAGCTCCAGGAAATAGATCAAGAGGAACTGAACCCAATCATGACAGTCCTGTTCCATAAGGTCTCAAATATTTCTCAGTTACAGATAGCCATGGAACACAATTCTAACTAACAAAATACAACAGGGAGTCTCTTGAGGGATGACAGGAAAGCTTCTGTGTTCTTGGAAGCTCTGGGATGTCCCTCCATCTTTTCTTATTATGAATGTGGATGTGATATGTGGAGTGTTGAAACCATCTTGGGATCATGAATGAAATATAAGAAAAATTGTAAGGATGCCAGTTTAAAATCTCTTTGAGTTCCTGAATTAAGGCTAGAAGCCACCTACCTTTGGACTTGTAATTGTGTGAGAAAAATAAATCTGTTACATGCAACCAAATGCATTCCATATACATTATATATATAATATATATGAATTATAAACTATATTTAGCTATAAAAGTACTAAAATATATCCACAAGAGTGGGAGAATTACTGGAAAGCTAAGAGTTTGTTCAATGTTTTCTTTCCAATTGAGCCCCAAAACACCCAGCTAGTCCAATTTCAGTTCCTCAATTGGATTCTGATTCATCAGCCCATGAAGACAGTGGGTCTTAAAGTGTGGTCTCTGCACAGGAACAAACACAAGAGAGAGATGCACTGGTATTTCCAATGATGTGCTCAGCCAGTTCTCAGAGAAGTAGGCACGGAATATTCTGAACGGCTTCATCGCTCCAAACTTAACACGGACACAGTGTGGAGCAGCTGCTCAGTCTCCTGGGGAGGCCCAGTCCGCATCTCTGAGATGAGTGAGAATCCTCCCGATAGTCATAGTGGTCCAGCAACAAAAACAAGAGCTGGGCTCAAAGCAATTTACAAATTCAATTCAGTCCCTGTCCAAATTCCAACACTGTCTTTGCAAAAAAAAGCAATCCTCATATTTACATGGACTTGTAATGGGTTTCTGAATAGCCCAAACAATATTGAAAGTCAGAAGATAAATGTTTCCTGACCTGGTTACTACAAAACAGAAGTGATCAAAACAACGTGGTACTGGATGGACACATAGATCAGTGGAGTTGAACTGAAAATGTAGGAATAAGTCCATGTTTATGTGGCTAACTGATATTTTTCGAGAGAGTCACAACTACTCAATGGGGGAAAAAAACCACAATCTCTTTAACAGGTATTTCTAGGTCAACCAGATTTTCATATGCAAAGTAATGTAACTCAAACTTGTAAAAATTACCTTAAATGAAATAATCCAGACATAGAAAGACAAGTGTATGATTTCAGTCATGAAATACCTGTAATTCATAGAGACAGACAGTAGATTAGACAATACTGAGGCATGGTGGTAGAGGAATAAGGGTAGTTATCAATTAATGGGTACAAAACTTCTGTTGGGATAACAAAAACATTTTGGATCCAAATAGTGATAGCAGTTGCCCAATACTGTTAGCCTACTTAATGCCTCTTGAAAATGGTTAAAATGGAAAATGATACATTACATACATTTTATCACAATACAAAAATAAAAAGCAAGTGTCAGGGTCCATAGCCCTGGTAAAGGGTGTTACATTTGTCCTTTTCTGGTGTGGACACTTCTCCTTTACTGCTCTTACCTCCATTAGAACGCAAGGGTTCCTGAACAAGAGCCTAGAACTCATGCTCTGTGACCAAGAATTGGTGTTTTAAGGATGCTGTGCTAAGGAAGTTGCTGTTGCTGTTGTTGTACATGTTTCTTTCAATCAGTGACCCAAACTGTTTACACCTGGGGTATTTTTCTTATACTCCCCCCACCCAACAGACAGATCTACAGACCAAAGCCTGAAAAGCACAAAAAACACCATGTTTTGACCCCAAGTGTAGAGTCTTGCCTTCTTCCATATTCATCTTCACTTATGTGACTAAATAACCCAAGTGTCTGCCATCCGTGTAACAGCCAGGCCCATCCTTCCCTACCTGAAAGGTCAGCTGGCTTTCCAATATGGTACCCATGTGCTCCACATCCACCCAGCTCAGCCCATCCAGATGCCAAGGTAAATTATTAGAACTTTAAAAGTGATGTCCTCTCTCTTCTATCTTAACTCTCTATTCTTACATGTTTTCTAATGTCAGTAACATCTCAGTATAACAGCACAAGAAGAATAGGAAAAGAAAGCAAGACTCTAAGGTCCTAAGCTCAAGTCAAAGGATGATCCCTTTTTTTTTGGTTTGGTTTGGTTTGGTTTAGTTTTATTTGGTCTGTGGCTCTTCCGTGAGAAAAAAGACCATGCTTTATAAACCAATCAATCAGTCAGTACCATCCTTCATGCTTAACAATAAGGACACACTCTGACAAAGTGTTGTTAGGCAATTTTGTCTTTGTGGGAATGATATGGAGTGTGCTTACACAAACCAGGATGGTATCGCTTAATCACTCATGTGGCCTTTTGATGCAATCAAGAGATGTAGTAAACACAAGACATATGAGGTGCTGGCATAAATAGCATACTGTTTCACAGAAGACTTTTAAAAATAAGTAAATGGCTACTCTAAAATAATGATAAAAATAATATAGCACAGTATATGTAGGCTGTTGTTGGCTGAAGTGTCACTATGTGGTGCATGACTATAAATAAATTCCATAAAATAAAATGGGATGTTCATACTCAAAACTTTTCTTTACTGATAGATGTATCAGAACAAAGAAGGCAGGGAACCACTGCTTTAGCACCTTGATGGACAGAGAAGATTTGCTGCTTCCATCCTTCAGAGCTGAGGCTTGCTACATATGGCCTTCTTTGCTGACTTCTGCCTCCTAACCAAGGCTCTCAGTTCCCTTTCTGTGCTGGTCTCTCAGTAAATTCATACTGCAACCCTGCTGGTCCAAGGCCAGTTTGTGCAACAGACTTGCTGAGGTCTCAATGGTGACGATGGACATTATAATCCATAATGGTAAGCAATTCAAGCTCATGTAGCCAACATCACTGTTCTCAAAAAGCTCCTTATTTACTCCTGCCCCTGGGAACTTTGCTCAGTCCATCTTCCCCTCAGGACCTGGCCTCCTACCAAATTGCTAGGCACCTCCTCTCTTGTGAGAGAAGCCTCTTCCACCTTCTAGAAGCTTCTTCCACCCTCTAGAAGCTTCCAGCAATTTCTAGATTTCTATTGCTTGATTATGCATAATGACAGAGTACCATCCTTGCTCACATCTCTTCTTCCAGCTAACCACAGAGGTTTTGTCTTTGACAACCAGCATTTGCCTACTAAGTTGTTCCCATAAAACAAAACAGCAGGTTTTTTCCTTAAGTGGATTCTGTATTCTTTCAAAACAGTGATTTCTGAAGAATGGTCTGAATCACATACTTTCTTATTTAGAACAAAGATCCCTGAGCCTGGGCCCAGTGCTACTGGATCCAATCCCAGGTTCGGGATAGTTTAGGAATCTGGTGCATACTGAGATCTGAGAACCACTGGCCTAGCTGGTAGGTGATTCAACTTGAAGATGCCTAGTTTTCTTCCTGTTAGAGTTTATTTCATATTAATGGCATTGGGCCAAATGTATCATTTGCCTTGTTTTCCTCCTCCCTTCTACTACTAAAGTAGTTCTGACTACTTTTCCAAACCACATCTTTGACCAGTGTTTAAATGAAGCACCCCAGAAGGACAAATCCCACAGGGGCAGAGTTTGGTGAACTGATGGTGCCTCTGAAGAGTTTAGAAAAAAAAAGCACTCTTCCGGGGACACAGCCCATGCCAGGAGACACATTCATTGGGAATCTTTGTCAATAAACAGCTCACACACTCCCGCCTTGGAGATAAACCAATTTAAGGAAATAATCATTCTAGCTCCTCTCTCAGATTTGCACTGCCTGAGGAAATGCATGGGAGTTAGTACCTACACTTCTTCCTAGGACCAGACAGCAACCAGCTCAAGTGTCTGCATTTAAGTTGCCTCAAAGAGACTGTCTTGATCATTGTCAAAGAAAAAAGTTTTTCGACACTTGTGAGACATGGTGAGGAAGAGTTTAGGACTTTTGCAACTGATCTCAAGTCTCCTGCCATAGAGGAGGGAGATGGAGCTGAGCCCCCAATACAGCAAAAACTGCTGGGAACTTAGAGCCAAGGTGCACTGGGAGGGGGTCGGTAGTTGGGAATTTGTGCACTAAGAGGAGCCACTAAGATAGAGGAACTTGTTAAACCCATGAAACAGCAGGCCAGGGTCATCAGATATCAAAGTGGGGGGGAGGGGGTCTGTCTAAACTAACTTAGCAGGACTCTTGCTGCAGCTGAGTTAGACAGGCTAGGCAAGAACAGCAGCCAAAGTCAAAGGCTCAGAGGACCCTAGCTAAAGTTTGATCAAGGAGCGAAACTTTGTCATTGCTCAATAATGTTCCTAGCTTGCCTTATCTCAGTGGTATCACCTGGATGTGAAACACAGCTGTGCCCTCAGGGGCCTCTGAGGTAGGTAAGGTGGGGTTTTCCTGCACTAAATAGCCCTAGGAGACAGCTTCCCAAGTCCTTATATCCAGTTCTAATAGTTCGGCTGTCACTGTTCTTATTACTCCATTAACTGTCACTTTGGCTGTGTCAGCATGCTTGTCTTAGCTCTTTCCACTCTGCTGTGAGCTAAGAAGCCAGAATGATGTTTGTTTAAAATATGTCACATCAGAATAGAACCATAGGATGCTGAAATTCTGGTTGATTGTTCCGGTAGACCCTTGGTCAAATTCCCCTGTAAGAGCTTCGGGTTAGCCAGGTGTGGTGATGCAGGGCTATGATCCCAGAACACAAGGAAGCTGAGGCAGGAGAAATGCAAATTTGAGTCCTACTTGAGACCTTATCTCAAAAATTAATAAGGGGGGAGGGGAGGCTCAGTAGCAGAGCACCTGTGGGCTCAATCCCACAGCACTGCAGAAAAGAAAGAAAGAAGAAAAGTCTGGTTCCACTTTTCCTCGCCATTTGTGATTTTTCTCCCTTTTTCTGGAATAAAAGACAAATTCACGTTGTTAAGTGTTGTATTCAAGGACTAAGAGCTGCATGGACCAGGTCCAGAGATGTAGATTTCACAGCACATGGCTGCCTGCAAAGCTCCTGCAAGAAATCTACACTGAAGATGGAAAAGAGATGGGCTCATTAAGCATGCCCAGTTGGGACGTGGACCTGGGATTGGATGCTTTTGCCATCGGCCATGAAAGTTCCCGCACTTCTTCATCTGAGCAGAATCAAGGTGTAGGCTCCCCCAAGAGTTGGAAGGGCCCTGTTCTACTCAGATGCATGAAGACATAAATGATCTCACCAACAAAGCAGAAATTGCTGTGATCATACCTAAAAGACTGCTATAATTTTTGAATAGAAAATAAAGGGAAAGCAAAATGACTTTTTAAGGAATCAGCTCTGTAGGCACCCTGAACATTTACCCCACCACCAGGAATCAGCCTAATGAAAGGAGAGAGTCCACTCCTGATTTTGACCAACAAATTCAATGCATTTCTAAATGTTTTAAAGTTAATAATACTTCCTTCTTTTTAAACCATTAGGATCTATAATAAGAATAAAGAGTCTGAGGGAGGGGCAGAGGAGCTTTTCTGTGAATAAGGAAGGTTAACTCCAGGGCACGGATTCGGATTTCAGGACGTTGAGTCTTACTGACTGATAAACTCCCTTACTTTCTTCCAGGCCCCTGGGTGAATTCCAAATGGCTGAGGTCACTAGGTAATAAGTCGCTCCCTTCAAAAAAATCAATATGAATAATTTGCACTTACAGAATGTTTGATTGTTGCTTTGTTCTAACACACTTTTTTGCCCTGGTAAAACAGAAACATTGAATTTCACAAATGAGATATAAGAGTTCACTCTGCCAAGCTAAGGGGAAACAGGCAGCCCTTTGCATGCTCTGGCACCTAGGGTCCACTTTCTATCTCCACTGTCCTCATCTGGAGGGGTACAGGGGCTCTTCATGGTTGCTCCCTAAATATGGAAACATTGAAGGCTCATTCTAGCAAGTGTTTCCCAATCACTTTAAGCTACAAATCTCCAAAAAAATTGTGTGTTTATAATCAAAATTAAAATTCTACAAAATAATACTTAGTATCCCTTGTATTATTTTCCTAGAGCTACCATAAGAAAGCACCACAGACTTGGTGGTTTAAACAACAAATTTATTGTCCCACAATTCTGGAGGCAAAAAAATCTAAGATCAAATTGTCAGCAGGCTTGGCTTTTTCTAAGGCTTCTCAGATTGTCATGACACAGTCTATCCTTTGAAAGTACAGTGGACCTTTGACTTGCAACTCAATTTGTTCACGAGGGCTGGTTGTAA